GCTGGTTTTGGTTGTCAGCAGCAAAACTGGTTGATCCACCCTGAGACTGTGCTATTTAAGAGACTGAGCTGAATACAGCTCCTCAGACTGAGGCAGTCTCTCGGATGAGAGACGAAACGTTTCTACATTTTTTTGTTGATTTGCTTTTTTTTTTTTTTTTAATGTCCAGAGGACCAGATTTAACTTTTTTAGATTTTTCTACCTGGATTATTGAGCATGCATCGGGAGTCTCTAAAATGTTTCAGAACTTTAAAAGGCTACAACAATAATATGCCCAGTCTCGAATATTGTTTTGCAAATTGTCCATACAAAAATAGTGATAAAAAATTGCTGCATTTTGTGTGGTTGCAAAGCTCACTTGTTGCTTGGTGGCAAAAACTCACAATTTAATGAGACTGCCACAAAAATCTTCATTTTTCTTGCAATTTTCTCACAAATTGTAGTCTCCAACTAGTCTCTAATAGTCATGACCCAATGAGATACCACCTTATACGTTGTGTGTTCTATCTAACCCCTGTTTGTATCTTTAAAACTTTCAGTGCTAACACCCAGAGGAAAAAAAAGTTTGGTTTGAAATCAAGTGTGTTGGACTGAGTTCCAGTTTAAGCAGACTTACGGTCAGGGTTAGGAGACTTGCGTCCAGCATGACTCGGTGAGGAGCAACGGAATGTAGTGACGATGGTGCTGTGATGGGGGTTAGGGTGGTGAGGGTGATGCACTGCCGCATGGTGGCCATTGTTCTCCAGAGGAGCTTTGGTGATGTTAATTTCAGGTTTACGAACATCCCCGGGACTCAGGGCCTCAAACTTGCGAGTGTGATTCAGCTCAGGGACTCGGGCGATCCCATTGTTGTTACTACTGCCCTCATTGCGGCGGATCACAGGGGAGTCAGTCAGGCTCTTTGCAAAAGTCACCTCTCTCTTGTGGCCCATCTCAGGGGTCTTGGAGTACCCCAGGACTTCGGGGCGTTTCAGGGCACTGTTGCTCGCAAAGCGTGTGGAAGCAGGGCTGGTGATGGTATCTGCCTGCTTATGTGAGGAAGAGATGTCAATGGAGAGTTCAGAACGGCGTGACACCGGCTCTGGAGTCTTGGAGCCTCCTCCCCCCATGATGGAGCGTGGCTGAGTATAGTTGATGTTGTTGTTATTGGTGGCAGGGGCGGCAGTACCCAGGTCACGGTAGTAAATACTCGTGGGAGACATGGCATTACGGTGGGGAGAGCTAGTTGTTCGACGAGAACCAGGTGAAGAATGGGACGAAGTGTCAACATCTTCCACCTCAAAGGACCTCTTAAGAGCTGCAGAAAGCGGACAAAGAACGCACAGCAGTTAGATGTTTGATTTTCTGGAAAATGCTAAAATGTGATCAACATTCTCTGCCCTTTAACAAGCAATGCATTTAACCTTTGATGTCATTGTAAATTGAATGTACTTCTCTCTTAAACAGTAAGACAAAAAACATAACTTTTGAGAAGTATTGTTTGACAAAAGCCAAGGATCATAGCAAAGTGTCAGCACAACCACAAATGATGCAGGAAGAGGGAAACCTGCATCATGAAGGGCCCGACTCACCCAGCATATTCATTTTTTTGCCCCGCTCCCCTCAGGCAGGAGGTTGAGGAGCATTAAGTGTAGAACCGCTAGACTGAGGAACAGCTTCTATCCTGAAGCTGTTAGAGTACCGCAAGGGTCCATCCTTGGTCCTCTTATTTTCTTTATACCTGCTGCTACTAGGTGCTATTTTCAGGAAACATAACATACCTTTTCATTTCTATGCCGACGACTGCCAAATCTACTTCCCCCTCAGACTCAACGGTACTCGCTCTATTCAACCGTTACTGGACTGCCTGGCTGACTTCAGAGATCGGATGGCTTTAAATTTCTTGAGTTTCAACGAGAAGAAATCTGAAGTTATGCTGTTTCCTCCCAATGGCACAATCACCAACCACTGCATCGACCTATCCATTCTGTCACCGTTAGTGAAACAAAGAGTCACTAATCTAGGAGTGATACTTGACCCTTCTCTGAAACTCAACAATCATGTAAATATGATTGTTAAATCCTGCTTTTTCCAGCTGAGGTGACTATCTAAGCTGAAGCCCATATTGTCCAAAAATAACCTGGAGACAGTAATTCATGCATTAATTACATCCAGGCTCGACTATTGCAACTCACACCTTTTTGGTATCAGTCAGACCTCCATAGCTAGACTCCAACTGGTCCAAAATGCAGCAGCCCGGTTTTTGACCAGCACAAGCAAAAGAGAGCACATTACACCTGTTTTGGCCTCCCTACACTGGCTTCCGGTTCACCTTCGAATCAAATTCAAAATACTCTTGTATGTCTATAAATCACTAAACAGCTCTGCCCCCTCCTATCTTACTGATCTGCTCCAGCCGTATGTCCCACCACGTTCTCTCAGATCAGCAGACCAGTTGCTCCTAACAGTCCCAGGAACCCGTCTCAAGCGCAGAGGTGACAGGGCCTTCTCTGTAGCAGGCCCAAGACTTTGGAATGAGTTACCTCTGCTCGTTAGACAGGCCCCCTCCCTCACAAGTTTTAAATCTTGCTTAAAAACACACTTTTATTCCCTGGCTTTCAGCACTGTGTGATCTGTGCTGAGTCTGTGTGCATCACACTGTGTTGGTCATGTTGCGGTTGTTGTTGTTATCCATTATTGTTTTTGTTGGTTTCTACTTTTTGGTGTCCTGTTATGTAATCTGTTGCTGTGTGCTTGTTCTGTTTGTCCCTGTACAGCACTTTGGTGTGCTTTGTCACTGTTTAAAGTGCTTTATAAATAAATTGGTATGGTATAGAGTCACAAATCCCTAACCAGAATTATCAATGTGAAAAAAATCACTGTAATGCCACTTGATTGTTGATATCTGCTGCTGACTATTCATGCTGCTGATCTCATACTGCTGATTTATTTCCTACTGCTGTTTTCATTCGTACTCTTCTGCTCACACAAACTCATGTTCGTGCTGCTGTTGCTTGGCGTATTGTTTTTATACTACTAGTGCTTAGTGTATTCTTAGTTTAGCGTATTACTTAGTTCATATCTCATATCTTATTACTGTTTTCTTTACAATTTATACTTTTGTTGGATGTAACTGGGACCCTGTGTACACAATTTCATTCCACCACATGTACCACATGAGATGTGAATGTCAATAAAGAAACATTGACCTTGACCTTGAAAATTGTTCAATAGGTTAATCTTTGTGATGGACATGCGACCTGTCCAGGATGTCCTTCGCCTCTCGCACAGTGATGGTTGGACATGGACACCAGTGACCCCCTTGACCCCAAAAGGAAGAAGTGGGTAAAATATAATGGATAGATGGATGAATGGATGGATGGATGGATGGATGGATAATTTGGTTAAAAGAGTGAAGGAAACTGCAAAAGATCTCACCAGGCAGTAAACAAACAGTCTCTTTTTCTGGCCTGTGTAAAGATCAAACTCAACTTTCTCCACTTTGTCTTTCCTCAACCTAACCAAGAATTCTCATTGGAAAATCAAACAAGACAAGGACTAAACAAGTATAAGAATAAAACTGGCTGTCAAACCATTAAAAGCCCCATTTGGGACTTCAACCTCACTTGATACAACTCTGATTTTTAAGCCTTCATAAATATCTTTTTAGTAAACCGCCACATTTTTAACTATTGGACATATATGGCCAATAATGTTTTTATCTGTATGTGTGCTCGACTTTGCCTGTCTTAAAAAAAAAAAAAACTCGTAAACCACTGAATAGATGAAATATGTATGTGTGTATGTAATGAAAGTGTAGGGTTCTAAGGGCTAGATTAGCTGCCCTTGACTACAATATATTTAAACAACGGGTTCTCTCTTTTTCGAGCTAAATTACAGCCATGTGACCGAGGTAACTGTGTGTGGATTGTTTAATCAGTGACACTGAGACGTTAATTTTCTTTGACCCATCAGAATAAATGTGGTCATTTATTTAACAGAATCAAAATTTAACATCATAATGTACAAGTGATTAGCTGATCTGGTTCTGATTAATAAAACTTGGCACGTTTTACTTAATAAAAACAACAGACATTTCTGAAGGCATCTAGATTAATTACTGGCAAAATAGAAGAGTTTAAAGATGGGAAATGAAGGAGTTTAAATGGAGAGAAAAGATGGATGAAAAGGAAAGTGTGTTGACTAGGAATGGCAAAAAAAAAAAAAAAAAAAAAAAGGAATGGCACCCTTCATCCGACCCCAGCTCAGCCCCGGTACACTCGGTGCGTGGCGACTCGTTACCTTAGACGGGGATACCTCCGCTCAGGAACAGGAGTCCATTTCAACGCGACCTTTCAGCGTCTCCGGTAAGGATGGCTGAGAATCGTCCGAAGTAGTGACGGTACTCCATTCAACAAACACGCTCATCTCCCGGGTGGATACACAGCAAGCTGTGAGTTCAGTCAGAGATTCCACTCAGATGTGGAGGACGCCATGAAAGACCCCAGGAAGACTCCGGTCCAGGACTCCAGAAGACTGAAGACCGACTCAAGACTGACAGACCCAATTGACCTGAGAAGTTCCAGGAAGTGTGGACTCTTAAAGAGTTCTCACTTCCGGTCACCTCAGGACTTCCTGATTGGTTGAAACAACCAACAGGGGGTGGTTCTAGTGACGTCAGAGGGTCATTACAAGTCAAGAGAACAGCAGGAATGTTTTAGAAACGTCCCGTACAGACAGAAGACATGTTATGGCGAAGTGGGAGGAAGCAGTGCCAGTAGCTTCTTGTTTACCATCTGCTAGGTTTAAAAACACGACACGACACAACTTACTGCAAAGCCATGAATATTTTAAGTTCTTCATACATATGTATTTTGTTGCTGTGTTTTGTCATGTTCTTTGCAGGTGAACAGACAGTGGCCGGGTGTTTTGCCGTGTGCTCTCTTTGTGTATATTTCTTATATTTTGGAGTCTTACTTTGTCTTTTCCTTCTTTCTATCCTATAATTAAAAAAAAAAAATTTAAATTAAAAAACCCTACACTAGATAATCACTAGAATAAATATTTCATAATAATGGTGTGGAGAGGATGGCTGTAAGGGGAGAAGGGAGGCCATCTATTAAAAAAAAAAGAAAAAAAAAACACGACACTTCGTTCTAATAACTTCTTTCTGACTTTTGATCAACATCACTACTTCTCATTCAGACAGAAGATCAAAATGCATAATTACTTTGTAAATAGACATTTAACGTGATTTCTAATTTAAATGAGGATTAAAAAATCATTAATACTGTTTCACAGTTGATTTAAAATGAGTGGTTCACTTCAACATTTAGAAATGGTATGAACTAAACACACTTTTGATTTATCAAGATATTGTAAAATAGTAATGATAATATAAAAGAAGAGTGTTCTTTCAATTGATTACTTCAGGATACAATTAGACAGTCTCTGGATGAGCTAATTTGTATTTCTGGATTCAAATAAATGAAATAACAGTTCCTGTCCCATGAAGGTCCTCAGAGGCAGGTTTTGGTTGGAGGCCGAGTTCACTACAGTCCCCCTTTTGGAAATCATCGCCTGTCCATGGGGATGAATTCCAACATGAACTTACGCCTCCGAATGTCCTTGAGCTTGATGTAATCCAGCAAGAGGAAAACAAAAGTCAAAGAAGGTAATCCCACAACGGTTTAGGTAATTCCACAATGTTGTTGGTAATTCCATAATGTTGTTGGTAATTCCATTGTAGCAATGCTTTAACCCCTTGGAAACAAAGTCTGTAATCCATTGGAAAAAGTCATATAATCCACAACGACAAATCCACAACGATTGGCGGTGTTGATTGATCAGCATGCAGAGGGGCTCCCTCGATTGAACTGCAGAGGCGACCACTGGATGGAGATTGGAGACCCACGTTGGAGTTGTAGGTCCCTTCAGCGAAGGTTGCTGCTGGTGGTTCCCAGTGGGTGCCATTCTGGTTCTATGTGTTATGCATTTATGTGGTTTTAGTTGGGCTTATGAGTGGGATTTTACACAAGACCTTAACCTATATGCACCTGGTGTGTAAGCTATCATGGTTTAGATCAGCTAAAGTTACCAGTTTAAAGGGTGGGTCATGCTGAAAAATTTATATATATAGGGATTTATACCTATAGAAGGGCATTCCAAACTATTTTTTCATTCCTAACTTGGTTTAAGTTAGATTTACATGGCAAAATATAGTTTGGTTCAATTGTCTGTTGTCCTTTTAGACGAACGACTTGAGGTTTGGTTTTAGGTTTTCCCCTAAATGTTTTTGGAGTCTATGGCGAGACTCAA